GTTCTGTAATGTTTATAGTCTCTACAGATTTGATTTTTTTTAGCAGTAATTTACCTCTTGTGAAATCTGTATTACTTGTTCTTTCTGATGTTCCAGATCTTTTACAAGCAACGAGTTTTGCTTTTCTAGCTGCAGTAACCTCCTTGCCAAGTGAACACTGTGCCAATAAAAAGCAAGCTCAAGTTGAATTTTTTCCAAAATACGCAAAAGAAATTTTCACATTTATATTTCAGAACTTGATTGCCTTAATTTTTCACCAATGCTTAAATAGTAATACATATAAACTACATATTGAAACATGCAGAATGGTCAAAGTTAAAAAAAACAATGAAAAGATTACAAATTTTAACAGCACTGAGATAGCATTCCCACAGTTATGCCATTGTAATATTTTTTACAAAGTAATTACCTATATAATTTGTACAATAACACACAATTGCAGTAATCATGTCAAAATGTTTCCACTAAGTATTTACTTTTTAGCAACTCTAGGGAATCACTGTAACTGGCTTAAATAATTTTTTTTAAATGCACATTATTATACATTTTGTAGTGGAACACTGAAAATTGTAGTAATTTATAATTTTTAAACAGAGACAAAATTGTTTTGTCTGACAATTAATATGCTAAATAATTAAATGTTATTGCCATTTTTTTTTTAAAAAAAACCCTCTTACAACAGATCCACAAATTAATTTCGAAGAAAAAGGATTATTGACTGACTTAAACACTCTACTTAAAAAAATTAGATCCTCAACCTCTTGTTTCATGTCCAAAGTCAGAAGAATTTATCATCAATTCATCAGCATAGTTCCACAGGCAGCAATAGGAAGATTCGGTATGCAATTGTAGAGCCTACTTCCAGACATCTAACCTAGTCTTTCAAGCTGTTGTTAATCATTTAGTCCTATTCAATGCAGTCTGTAGAGCCTGACTATATTCCACTAAAATGGACCCTTGGATGATGAATTGAAATGTACTCCAAACTCCAGTGACTGTAATGAGGAATTGACATCATCTACCTGGACTTGCACAAAACATTTGATACTGGCCCATATGACATGCTTGTCTTTAAACCGGAGAGACTTGAATTTGAAGAATGGCCCGCTCAGTGGATAAGGAATTGGTTGGATGGTCGTACTCAAAAAGTTGTGGTCAGCGGTTCAATGTCCAAGTGGAGACCAGTGACGAGTGGTGTTCCTCGGGGGTTGGTACTGGGACCAGTGTTGTTTAACATCTTTGCTGGTGACATAGACAGTGGGACTGAGTGCACCTTCATTAAGCTTGCTGATGACACCAAGCTGTGTGGTGGGGTTGACACACTGGAGGGAAAGGATTTGCCATCCAGAGGGACCTTGATAAGCTTAAGAGGTGGGCCTGTCCAAACCTCATGAATTTCAACAAGGCCAAGTGCAAGATCCTGAACATGGGTCGGGGCAATCCCATACACAAATACAGGCTGGGTGATGAGTGGATTGAGAGCAGCCCTGAGGAGAAGGATATGGGAATAATAGTGGATGGAAAACTGAATATGAACCAGCAACATGCATTTGAGGCCCAGAAAGCCAACCATATCTTGGGCTACATCAAGAGAAGTGTGGCCAGCAGGTCAAGGGAGGTGATTCTACCCCTCTACTCTGCTCTGTTGAGTCCCCACCTGGAATTCTGGGTGCAGCTCTGGGGTGCCCAGCATAAGTAGGATATGGACCTGTTGGAGCGAGTCCAGAGAAGGACCACAAAGATGATCAGGGGTTGGATCACCTCCCTTATGAGGACAGACAGAGAGTTGGAGTTTTTCAGTCTAGAGAAGAGAACGCTCCAGAGAGACCTTATAGCAGCCTTCCAGTACTTAAAGGGGGCCTACAGGAAAGGTGGAGAGGAACTCTTTATCAGGGAGTGTAGCAATAGGACAAAGGGTAATGGTTCTAAACTGAAAGAGGATAGATTTGGATCAGATGTAAGAAAGAAATTCTTTACTGTGAGGGTGGTGAGACACTAGCACAGGTTGCCCAGAGAAGCTGTGGATGCCCCCTCCCTGGAAGTGTTCGAGGCCAGGTTGGATGGGGCTTTGAGCAACCTGACCTAGTGGAAAGTGTCCCTGCCTGTGGCAGGGGGGTTGGAACTACATCATCTTTAAGGTCCCTTCCAACCCAGACAGTTATATGATTCTATCATTCTATGATTAGAACTAAATTGGTTATAATGGGAGGTTAGATATCAAGTCTCTGTATTAAACCTGTGATTACATAACTAAATCTACATATCTTGCAATGAATCCTACCATCTTTGTAGGATTCAGCAGCTTGGTGGCTTATTATCAAAATTGTATCTAGAGAATTTATCACTGTACCCCTCTGTGTTTAGGTACTCTATTCACCAATCTACTTCACAACATGATAGGGGAAATTCAGAGCTCTAAAGATGAGGAAAATATACAGGGTTAATACCACTTTTTAGTGTGCCTTAACCACTGAAGTAATGGCTCTCCACAACAAGCTATCCTTCCAGTCAAATGTGTGTAATTTTTCAGAAACTTGTATATTGAAGAAAAGGAGAAGTCAGTCCAGTTCAGATCTTAGACTCTCAATGCATATCATCCATAAACTGAAAACAGAAGACTGTTAGTCTCCAAATAAAGGATAGCAAAGTGTTATCCAGTTCTTGACCATGATACTGAATCTGTAAGAGAGTAAGTTATCTGAAGTAGACCAACAATGAGATTATATTTACCCTTAAACTGAGGCTTAGAGAGTGTAAAGCTAGAATGGTATATAAACGTTCACTGAAAATTTGATCAGTCATAACCTCCACCTTCTCCTCAGTAAAAGGGAATACACTTTCAGATTTGGCAGGTCTTAATATTCTTCAGCTGTGTTATGATAGGAATTATCTGAAATCCTCAATAGCATTCACTAATAGGTTGGTTCTCTCAGTTCCTCCTACAAGGAGCATTAGACTGTGTAAACAATAACTGAAAAAAGAGAAAATAATTCTCCAAACTAATTATTTGGGTTTTTTTATTTAGGAGACAGAAGATATGTGTTAAGATCCCATCTAGTACTGAAGAGAAATAAACCACCGCTCTGACTAGTTGGGGATCTTATACATTAGCTAGTAGAGTGCAATGGGAAACATGGATACCTTTCCATGGCAACTTTGGGAATAGCCAATTGTAGTTTTCCCAGCTACAACTACGCAGTGAACTTGACCTGAATTTGGAAGTATTTAAGGAGAAACACAAGTACATCTTTCACGTATGAAAAAAGTTTCGATATTTTTTTTCACTAGTCTACATTTAAAGGAAAGGGACAAAGGCACTGATCTGCAAAGACATTCTGGAAAACTTTGATTCCAACTATACTAGAAAACTATTCCATGCTCAAGAATGTGATAACTTTTTGTTAGCAATCCACTGAAGTGTTCCTGGTAGTATTCTGGCATTTACTCATTAACACTCTCCCAAACAGTTCCCAGGCATAGCTGAAGAGTTAGTGTGGACAAGCAATCATTGCCAATATGTAGTTCACAGGCAGCTAACATACAGAGAGTTTAGTCTTATGGAAGTGGGCTACTACATGGCATCTGGTCTTGATACTTCAGAATGTTCACGAGCATGTTTAATGTACTCCTGTGGGTGCATGGTGCCTACATCCAAAGTAATGAAATAGTTGTTTCTGGCAAGTAGGCAAAGAGGTATAGACCCCACAAGGCACTATGCTTGAACAGGTGATTTTGTACAAAGTTTCAGAGACTGAAGTGCATGCTCTGAACTTGTAAGAACCCTTAATTTAGGATCCCATATGTATGGAATTAAAGAGCAGGTAGTGGACTCCATAAAGATTCACATTTGCAATAATTTCTCTTTCCTTATGCAATCCCAGAGAGCAGCAAACTTATCTGTGTTTCTTTAATGGCTCTAAACACAGACGTTGGTCTTATAGAGACTGTGCTTTAAAGCTTAAGGAGCCATAGGCATCATACATATTTTCTGCATGGCAGTTTTCCGTGAATCAGAACAGCAGCACGTAAACCATACAAACTTTTATAGGTTTTTCAATCATCTTAATTTTAAAAGATAAAGAAAGTTTATTAAGTCTGCAACACCACTATGAAGGATTAAATCAGCTTTATCTTCCAGTGCCTTTTGGAACAAAAGAATATATGAGGCATTCTGATAGAGCCACTTTTAAGCTCAGAAAGTGCCTTCCAAGCACATCCAAAATCCTGGCTTACCAATCATCAGATTCATCATTCAAAGGTGATTTAGCATACTTCTTTTATACATAAATAATCTAAACTGAATCTAATAAGGTGGGGAAAAAGAAGGATCTAAACTGAAACTCAGAAAAGTTCCCAAACTATTGGCAGAGGAGGAAAAAACTGAAGTTTTAGGAAAAGATGCTATGGAACTCTCAGTAGTCTCCTAAACCAGACATTCAACAGAGTTATGGAGCTTTTTTACCCTCCCCCCCTTTTTTTTTTCCCTTCTTGAATTTTATGCAATATAAAAAGAAATCTTACAAGGAAAGAATTGTAAGAGGCTTAAAAACATCAAAGAGGAAGTTAAGTCATTCCAAAATTAAGTACTACATAAAATCTTTATGATTTTTGTCAGTGATATGTCAGTGCACAACAGGTCTAATCTGACTGACAATCATATCAACAACACTTACTTGAAAAACAAACATGAAGGACAGAAGAAACAGCATGGCCCATAAATCTTTGTTGCAGACATGAACAGACCATCATTTGCCCTTAATTATCATCAGTAACTTTAGATGTTAAATATTCTTTGTCATGGAGAAGGTGGAGGTTAAGAGGACAAAAATAACTAAAGAAACTAATACTTAAAGTAAAAATCGGCTATACATGACAAAAACTGCATTTACAGTTCCTGAATGTTAGAAATGTACACTGCAAAGCTATGGTACACATTCATCCTGTCTTTATACCCTTCTTTGTGTGTCTACCATGATGGTGGAGTGTCTCATTTTAGTAGAAGATAGCATGGTCAAAGCCTATCACTAACACAAATTATGCAGTCAACTTTCCTGCATTTGAGCAAATGGTAGGCATACTCAAAGTGCAAGAAATGTGTATAATCCTGGGAGAACCACTATCCTAACTGTGGTAACTCTGTCAGGCTGGAGACAGGATTCTGGACAAAAAAATAATCATATTACTCTGACCTAATATTGTGAAGAATGAGCAATCTCTATCTATAAGGAAAAATCAAAACTTATTGGACTCTTGAACAATTGGATTTGCTCTGAGCATGGTGTTGAATCCTTCTGACCTCCAGATGTTCTTTCCAACCTAAATCATCCCACTGTACCATGATTCTAATCAAATGTAATATTTTCTTTTTATACTATCTACACATATTTTCAACAGCAGCAAAATTTTTCTGTGGTCACAGTTTGAAAATATTATAAATAAATCTACATTCTCTATACTTGTAGCTTGTAGACTTTATGCTCACAATGAGTCATTCAAATGTCAGTATTATTTCTTAAAGATAGTGCATAATATAAATTTATTATTTAAAAATGACTGTGATCAGAAGATATGTTAATCAGACTACACATCATTTTTATCTATTGATCAAATGGTGTCAGAGCAAACTGAAGAAATATAACTGGAATCAGCTCCTGTATTTGTAAAGCTGAAATAGTGATGCTCTCTGAAACCCTGGCCTTTTTAATTTCCCGATGGTTTTTTTTTTTTTGTTACAATTATATACAATCATTTTTAGGGTATTAAAAACTTATTTCCTATTATATAAATGTTAACCATGTAACTAGTCTGTTTTTACAGCTGCTTAGCTTTATACAATTAAAATTAATCTTTCTGAAAGACAATGAAAAAAGATCTTAAAATGACCTAGAAAAATATGTATATGCTCATTTATATGCATCAACCACATTAACAGGTCCCAGTCTTCATTCTGTTCATGTATACTTAAGTAATTAAAAAACCCTCTTTATGTTAATCAAACTGTCTGGATTCTAAGACAAAACTTAATGCACATATATCTTCACTTTACTTTGTCTTGGAGAAGTAAATTCAGGAGGCACTTTTTTTACCTTTGCTTTAGTCGTCTTTTGGCTGTTGTAGGAACATTAGCACCATACCCATATGAGAAGAGAACCCTTTCAGCTTCAACTTCGTCTTCCACTGCAAAAAAATTGCAGAAAGGTACTGTTGAAGAACGTAATTGCACTGCAAGAACTTACAAACTTATAAGCAATCCTATTTATAACTATACACACACACAAACTTCTAGAAGCTAGATTTTCAGTTGGTATAACCTTCCGGACTTAAGTAGAACAATTTTGTTCACAATTAGAATAATATAGTGCCATACACTAATTTTTCACAACACTGGTAGGCTTTTTACTTTTTATTTTTCTGTTTTTTGATTAACATGAGACATGCAATAGTAAAGTAAAGGAAAAGAGTAGTGTCACTATAGTTACAATATACACACTACTAGTATAATTCAGCAGTAGAGGGTTAGGTTGTTTTGTTTTTTTTTCTAAAGAATTAATTTTCTGTGCACACATGAGGAAGTAGAAAAAGATAAAATTAGGGAGTGCTTAAGCTGACTGGACAGAAACAAATCCATGAGACCAGAAGGACACATCTGAGGTTGCTGAGGGAGCTGATATCAATAGGAGGCTGTTCATTATAATTTTTGAAAGACTCTGGTAATCAGAAATTTCTGATAACCTGAGGAAAACAAATGCCATACCCATCTTCAGAACAGGACAAGAAGGAGATTCTTATGTTTATGCAAAGTAAAAATATTCAAAATAATCTCTGCTTCCATTGATGACTGATTTCTGAAAACGTGCTTCTAAGGATTTAAAACACATTGGAATTGCTTTGAAAAGAAATCACAATAGCAGCAAGATTAAAACGTCTACAGATTTTTATATTTTAGCTTGTGTAATTCAGGTTTCCTCTCTCCTGTAAGATAGTGGACCAGAAAAAAAAAAAAAGGGAAACAAAGAAGCATGCGTGTGGGAGGTAGGCAGGGGCAGAGAGAGGGGGAGAGGAGGGGCAAATAGAAAGGGGGAGCATCAGGGTTGTGAGAGGAGGGAGCACAACTGAACACCAGCCCAGGTACCACACAACAGTTTTGATGAACCAACTAGTTGGGAACAGGAGAAACAATTTTAGGAAAATACGTGACAGTCCTATCTGACTCATGTTTCCTAATCCTCAAGTGCCTCAAAATCAGAAATACCTTCTCCCCTCAACAACTTGCACAACACTATAGCTGCTTTCCTCACTTGTCTAATACCCTTTTAATTCTGTTTTAAACAAGTACTCTTCAAACACATTTAGAAAAAGAAAAGCCTCTTGTAGAGCACTTGTGGTAAATCACATACCTAGTTACATGAAAAACAATACAGAAATTCCAGTATGTATGACAGAAAAAGTTTATTGATGTGGCAGTACAAAGGCACAAAAACTTCAGATTTTCAAGACTTAGTTATAATGGGGAATTCTCCAGTGCCTTAAATATATCTGGTTCAGAAAAACATAAAAAATAATTTGTCATAGTTCTTTTTGGTTACAAATTCAGTGTTGTATGTCTTAGGGAAGTGTCAGTAGGATCCTGATGTATAAATTCCTATCTGTCAGTAGTGTCCATGTAAGTGTCAGATTGTGAAATAAAAAAAAATAAATTTGGAAATGTTGCAGATATGAAGCTGAAATAATATTCTCTATCAGTGTGTCCTTCTCTTATCTAATTTTATCTCCTTCCAGGCTCTTCACCTGACTTTGTGCTGTAAAATATACATTTTATGTTAGGGGACACTTATTAATGACAGTTTTTTACACCACTTGGCAAAAAGAAGTGCCATTGTGAGGATATATATATGGGTCCAATCTTTTTCTTAAAAAGATATTAACCAATAAAAAAAAAAAAAAAAAAAAAAAGAGAAAAAGAAAAATCAAAGAACTAGTCTACAACAGAAATACCCCAAAGTGAAGGCTTTATTCTGAAAAGAAAAGACAAATGCCAAGAAAGTTTACTGTTGTTATTCATGTGGAAGCCACTCAGATGTTGTAAGGAGTGGCTACATAAATTCTTGATAGTTTCCTGAATAGACTGTTTCATGTTATTTCAGCACCAATAAAGCAAGGCATAATGAGGGAATAACAGTCACAATTCAGTGATCTTTTCCACATGCACGTTCTCCAAAGGAAAAGATAAAAAGTTTATATGAGTATATGACAAAAGCCACCTCACGTGTAAATACACAATTTCTAAGTCCAGAGAACCCCACCCCCACAAGCACCCCTAAATATTGTAAAATAGCAGAAGCTTCATAACTCAAGAAGAAAAAAAAATTGCATGGTATTGAAATATAAAGAAGTGAGCATAGGACTGAAGATAAAATCTTATTCTCGCTGAAGTCTATAGAAAATTCTAATTGTCTTCCATACAATACTTCTGCCTAAATCATATTCTCTGAAAAATAGACTGGAGTATTTCCATAACACACTGAATTTGAAAAATAATGATATTTCTTTTCTTTCAACTAATTTTCTACCTATTTTTCTACCAAAGGACATAATTTGAGACACCGGAGGAAGTATATCTGGTGTTCTCCTTCATAGTATTTTAAAAACAGAAATATGTTTATTTCTTCTGATTTTCCTCAGAAGTTCTCCTTAGTGCTGGAATTCAGTCTTAATTAGTATTAATCCTAACTTTCAATATCAAAACCACTATAATAGTAAGAAAAAAACAATGTTAGTTATTAAATAGAAAGTATATTGAAATAATATTGAACTATAACTCCCTTTGTTCTCCAACAAAATCAAAAAATAATTATATTTTAACAGTCCATTTGGAAACTTTAAGTCATATTCTGTATCACAGAACATAAATTGTAATTAAAATACACATGTAAGAAGTTAAGAATGATTTAGCTCTGTAAAAACCTCTAGTGCCATCCCAAGATGCATAAGAGAATGTAAATCAGTGTGAACAAAGAACAGCATTTTGAACTCTGTGTTCTCCTTGGAAAAAATTAGGGTAAGGTCCAAAAAATTCTATATTAACACAAATACTCCTTAGGCAAGTTTATATATACACACTTCAAAAAAACATGTTACTGACTAAAACATAAGCATGTATATAGCAAACACAGTCATGGTCAGACTTGAACCTTTGGGTAGTCATGCCATTCTAACAAGCTACAGTGTATAAAACTGATAAAGTATACAGTCTAAATAATAAAGATACCCAGACATCACTGCATCCCAGTAAGACATATTTTTTTCTACACTATTGTTTATACATAAAGCTTATGCAATGATCTTCTAGCTCGAAAACATTATTTATAAATTGTGATTATTTTTTTGAGTAGCAAAGAAAGAGAAAAGGACAAGAAGATAGATGAATTAATTTGAAATCTTAAAGTGTCCTGTTTACACACAGGCTAAAAGACTTCAAGATTAGAGTCGTACTTTCAAATTAGAAATTACTTGCCTTGTGGATTCATTTAGATTGAGAACCAAATTAATATAGATTTCACAGAAATTTTGCTGTGTTTGAGAACAGATATCACTATTTTTGCCAACCAGACACAAAAATTTTCAAGAGTAGTAAGGCCTGAATTTAGTCCAGGGTTTAGTAGTTGGAACAGACTGATCTGGCACAAGCAACTAGATAACAACTACTTGTTAATAATTCAATAATAGTCATGTAATTGTGTTTTATAAATTATAAAATTTATAGTAATAATACTTCTTTTTTTGGCAGCTTGACAGAGCAAATTCTTTGCTGAATCAAGTACAACAGCCATACAAATACCTCATTGAAACTGTGCAACAGAGAGATTCTCAAAT